GCGCCTCACAGGTCCGGGGGTCCCTGCTTTTGGCTTTTACGCATCCCACCTGCCACATTTCTGCCCAACTTCCACACACATCCTGCCAGTGTCAGGGTCCTCTTCTCCTACACATCCTGCCCTGTTTCCAACTGTTCACTATCCTCAAGCTTCAACAGACCAGGACAGATCCGTATATTACTAATGTGAAGCTCAACGTTCATATACTGGAATTATGGAACTATATTCTGGCCAAAATAATTATGAGGATCTTTTACCCTAAGCACACTCCCAGAACTACTTCACTCACAATTCGGGCATTCACACACTTATACTCACAATCTTCTAGATCCTTCTCTTCCTTCTTTTTCATTATATAGTCCTTTGTAGTCCCCAGGTTTACCTGCAATCAGCGATGGTTCCAAGAGAAGTTGTTTGATCTGCTAAAATCAGCAGGGGCACCATTCGTCCAAAATCTCCTTGGCCATGGGAGAAGAGGTCTTATATCTTGGACAAGTCCCCACTGTGAGAGAAAACTGCTCACTTTGAAAATTTAAAGAGGTTTATTAAAACTTAACAAAAATACAACAACAGGACTAAATAAGGAAAAAGTTGCAGTGCTGGAAACTGCCTTCATGGCTGCCTCCCACGTGGTCGGTTCCTCTTCAAGATGCATGCTCATTCTTTCATACTTTTGGGGGTTACATCAGCCAGCCCTGGCCCCTCCCAAAGTCTGTCAGTCAGCTCTTCTTTGCCATTTATTGGTGGAGACTGTTTTCTTGTAACTTGATTGGAGATCAGGTGTCATCATGCCGCACCCCCTAAGCAACAAGCTTTTCTGTTCCAAACTGCCCCAGGTAAGGGCTACTTATACATGCCTTCTTTCTCCTTGTTTAAGACAACCCAGGCTGTCTGATGGTCACAATACAGAGGAGGGGAGTGGAAAAGGGAACTATGGGGAGAACAGAGGACATCTAAACTACAATAACATAACTTTACATCAATAAAGCTTCTCTTAATATTCACACAATTTTCATTCCTTAATTGCGAGATCAAATTATCTCATTATCAATAACACCAAGAAGGGACTTCCACCCCTTTCTGTGTGTGCTTTAGCACCCATTGTGTGGTACAAGGGACACAAGGCTCTCCCTGTGCCTGTCTCCAAAAGTTTCAAGCAGAGACTCGAGCCTCTCCACCTCAGAACTTATGGGGGTCTCCACAACTCCTCTGTGGCCACCTTAGGCTGATCATGCTGTGCATGCCTTCTTCACCCACTACCCATGATTTTACCGAATCTGCACCAAATGTCACAACAGAGAGGCTCAATCCACCCTTTTATTTTACACAGACTGTGCACATGGAATTATAACACTCCTCCTCTGTCTCCTTCCTTCCCTGAAAATCCCAGCAGCTGGATATTTGGAGGAGGGAGGCTCCAGAGGTACTCCTCTGCAGATGCCAGCCTGGTCAGGGACAGAGAAACAGCAATAGTTTCTCACAGTAGCTTGTAAGAATTTTAGGGTGTTGTAGGAATGTGATAACTTGTTAGTATAAACAATCTGCAGGTGGTGTTTTTCCACTTTGTTTTCCTGTCCTTCTCAAGGACAGTGTGTGAGAAAGATGTTTTTTATTAACTAGCCAATCAAGTAGAATGTATTGTATCGGTTTATATACACCAGAGAATCCTTTGTAATAAACTTTCCTTTTCTCCTCTTGCAATTGGGTCTCTCATCTATTCTTGTGTCATTCTTGGCTCAAGGGTGACACTCCTCTACATTCCTATCTAGGGTACCATAGTGCTAAAGAAACTCCCCTGTGTGACCATTCCAGAGACAAGGGTTCCTCCAGCGAGCTGCCAGGTGCCCTGTTTCATTCCCCACCCATGCCACTCTCACCCAGTTAGAGCAGGTTTCTGTACCCATTCCACCCTGAGGTTCCATCAGCAGAGTTGCAGATGTCTCATTCCATAAAGAGCCACCAGCTCCTTCTGCAGCTCTCAGTGTTGTCCTGGTTTAAAAGACAGGTGTCTGCCAAGGAAGGCGGGAACCTCCTTTGGAATGGATAATGTGAACCCCCTTCCCTCCAAATTATTATAACTTTGAAATTACCAGGTTTTCAGGCAAAGATATGAGAACAGGAATAGCAGTTCTTTACTAGAATGTAGAGGAGTATCTCTAAAAGGCAAACAAAGAACAACAACGGCAGTACAACAACAGAACAGAAAGAGAAACCCAGTCCCAGCCGCCTCTCGACCACAGGCGCTTCCCCTTTGCTGCAGTTCCAGTCATGGCCAGCAGGGTGCTGGTGGCGCCTGGCCAGGCAGGGCGGGTGCGATGATTCCCCCACGGCTGCAGGGGGCGCTGTGGCGTGAGCTCGGCCGCCTCGCTCCACACGGGAATGGCAGAAGAGATAGAGAAGGGGCTTCCTTTGGAAACTCACAGGAAGCAGCCGGTCTCAGTGCCACTTGGAAAGCTGGATGGACTGCAGCAGGAACCTTGTAGCAACAGACTAGAACAGCAGAGGCAGGCCCATCCTGGAGTGACCAACAAAGTGTAGCAAAGATTCCAGAGCCGTGCTAAAAGCCACGGAATGTTTGAGCAGGCACGGAGTGTCAGGTTAATGTGTAATAAAAAAGCCTAAATCATTGTCATAAAACAGCACAGCTGGGCAGTGGTTGCCAGGCTACTGCAAGCAGCAGCCACAAGCAGCTGGGAGATACACCCTCTGGGAAGGGGGAAGGAATCAGGATCACCTTCCCAGTGAGGTTGCGTGTTAGAAAGGTCCCAGTTCAACAGCCGCTCTTGTGAGCAGAAGCTCACCCACAAAAAAGAGAAAAGAAGTTCACAACAGAATTCCACTGTGGTAGCAAATTCACCCACAGCAGCAGCAAACCGGGCCATTCTCCTCTGGCCCTGAGAAAGAGTGAGGAGCTGAGCCTAGCCCCTCAACCCCAGCCAAAATCTCACGGTATCTCAACACTTCCCCAGAGAACCTCACTGCTCAGAGACAGTAGCAAACTGCACCCTTCCCACTCCTCCTTGGTTATATCTTTTGTCTCTCTTAAGTATCTGTTGTTCTCATCTCTTAGACTTTTTCACGTAGGCAGGGTCAGCACAGAACAGACACCAACTTCAGGAATAAATGTAATTTACTATAATTCAAACTTGCAAAGAATTGCAAAAGGATATGTAAGCAGGACATCAAATCATTAGCAAAGAATTGCAAAAGGATATACCATGCAATGCATCTAATGATTACTATAACAACTGCCTACTGTGATGAAGAAAGACACATCACAAGTTACCCTAATCCTTGACCATCATCCAGACCTGTCTATCAACTGGGGGGGAGCCACTGTCACAGTGAAGGACAGGGGAACCAGTGACAGGAACTGGGAAATCTTGCAGTTGCCTTCCCCTACAGGCAGTGATGTTACTGACTGTGTGTGTGCACTCCTTGTTTTTATACCATTGAATAAACAAGATACCAAAAGTTCTACTGCAGTAACATGTGGTTTCAGTCTCCTACTGGGATTCCCCTAAGGCCTTGGAGGGCTTCAGGAAGAACCAAGGGAGTTGTTTGTGATCCTACACCCCCCAAACAAGGCAAGATAGGGCCTTGTCCAGTCCCTAAGTATGGAAAGGTAAATCCATGTTTTGCCAGTGAGTGGACGTACACAACTTTCGTTTGGAAGATTCATCCAGAGGCCAGCTCTTGGTCAAGGCCTGTTGTTTTACCTTAGTCAGGGCCTGTTGATCAGGACTTAGTACTTCAATGCCCCGATCCCTCAAAGTGTTCAAGGACAGCTTCTGAGACAGGCTGTGCACATTGTGGACAACTGAGTCTACTGCAAGCTATCCCTCCCTGCCCATGGTAGCTGGTTGGAGCTATGTGATCTTCAAGGTCCCTTCCAGCCCAAACCATTCTATGGCTCCTTGATTCAATGCAGCACCTCCCCCAGTGGGCCCCCTGTCACAGACCACAGTGCCCCAAACATGGAACCCACCTCTCCGTGACATCAGCCCTGGGGCCAAGGGCACCATGGGCAGCACGGCTGCTGTGAGCACTGTGGCTGTAGTACTGCATGGAGCCCTCAGTGCTTGCAGCTGACACGTGCCTCTGGCAGCCATGAACTGCTTTGGCCTCCTCGTCCTGCTGACCATGGCCGGGCTGGCACAGAGCATCCAGTACACCTGTGGGTAAGTGGCCCCGGACCCTGAGAGGGAGCCACGGCAACACTTGTGGCCCTCCCTGGAGGGGACCTGCCTGTCCCCCATGGCTGAACTACAACACCCCATCCACAATGGGATATGAGCACAGAAGCTCACTGTGATTCCCCTGCACAGATTGGCTGGGAGGAGCTGGCCTAATAAGAAGGGACAGGAACAATGGAACTGTCCAGAAAATAAAAAACTTTAATAGCGAAAATAACAAACATCACACACGTACAGAGGCTAGGTTCCAAAGACCTCATGGGCAGGGCTAATGGAGCCAGGTATAGGGGCACAATGTCCAGTCAGAAAGGTGAACTGAGGATATGACCTAATAAGAAAAAGGTCTTGACCAAAGGTGAAGGAAAACTGGAAACTTGATCAAATATAGGAAGGTTCTATAAGCATACTTATTCCCAAGACCCCATGGTCCCCACTGTGGCCTGGTCAGATGTCCCTTCTCAGCATACTGTCTGCCACAATCTGAGTTCAAAACATTCTATAAAAGCATCTGAGGTAAAAACATCAGCAGGACAAGATCCCAGAACGGGGAAGCTTCAGTTCGTTGCCAGCAGTCAGGTGCTGGCACGGACAGACGCACACCCCATGGGCTTCCCTGGCCTGCTGTGTGTGCATGCCCTTGTGGGGAGGGCAGAGGGTTGAGCTTCAGCCTGAGCCACAGCAGGCCATGAAGCAGCACGGAAATTACTTTCTGCTTGCAGAGGAACTTGTGGGCTCCGAGCTCTGCAATCTGTCTATCATCCCATAACTAATTCCTACGGCAACGTGGCTTATGACTCCGGCATGACACGTGTCGTGGGTGGCACAGGTGCCCTGCCAGGGGCCTGGCCCTGGATCGTCAGCATCCAGCACCCCTGGGTACGAGGCCTGAAGCATCTGTGTGGAGGGTCCCTCATCAGCAAACAGTGGGTCCTCACAGCAGCCCACTGCTTCGACAAGGTCACGTAAGGAGGAGCAGGGAATGGGGACATCTCCACAACACCAGCAGGTGCCCTGTCAGCAGCACCACCTGCTACTCCCATCCCATTTCCTCTCAGGCAGCCAGACTGCCACACTGCTCAGGAGAAGCCTGGGCTCATGCCAAGGCTTCCTAGCAGCCTCCAGCTTGACATTCCCTCAGCCTAAGGCGTGCAAAGGCACTCATACCTGCCAGAGCACTGCTCCCTCACTGCCACGCCAGGAGATTGCTGAGCTGCTGTGGCACATGTCTCTGCTCCCTCTCAGCTCTCTCTCCATGCCTTCTAGGGAAATCAGCATGGTGTATGTGGTGACTGGGGTCTCTCAGTTGAGTCAACCAGGCCCTGGGACACAAGTGCGCCATGTCAAGCAGGTGCTGATTCACCAATACTACAACCCTGATGACATGAGCTACGATATTGCCCTGGTGGAACTGGACCATCCAGTCCAGTGCAATCGCTACATCCAGCTGGCCTGTGTACCCGACGCCACACTGAGAGTGTCAGAGCTGCAGAACTGCTGGGTGGCTGGCTGGGGTTCCACTGCTCCAAGAGGTGAGTCCCCAAGAGTGACTCCTGGGCCAGCGCAGCCCTGCAGGGCTTGGGCTTCTCCACAGAAGAGGCCGAAGTTGGAGTCAGGCTGCAGGACATATACCTCTGCAGAGATGGGCCTGGCTTGCTCCCCAAAGACTGGCAGCAGATCCAGTGCCTCTGCAGAGGCAAAGCCAAGCCATGGATCCCCTACAAGACACCCATGGGAGGAGAACTGGGATGGTGCTGCTGGGGGGTCATTTGTTTCTCTTGCTCACAGCTCAAAAATCAAGTGATCACTTGCAAGAGGCCAAGGTCCAGCTCATCGATGTCCAGCTCTGCAACAGCAGCCGCTGGTACGCCCCAGTGCTGGCAGGTGCCACCAACACCATCTTAATCCTCTGTGCTCTGCTGCAGGGTGACAGCGGTGGTCCTCTCATGTGCCAAGAGAAAAACAGTGACTACTGGTGGGTCATTGGAATAACCAGCTGGGGAAAAGGCTGTGCCAGAGCAAGGCGTCCTGGAATCTACCTCTCCATTCAGTACTTCTATGACTGGATCCTACTCTACATGAACCTGAGCCCAGATGGAAGTTCCTCTCCATCATCTCGGGCATGTAGTCATTTTTTTATCACTTCACATCCCTGGAGTCATTATATTCCCACCCCACAATCCTCTCAGAAGCCATGGGTAAGACCAACCCTCTCTCCAAAACCAACTCCAGTACGAACATTGGGCAAAGTTAACTGCTGCCCATTTCCCTTCAAGATTCTGATGGAATTCTTTACTCAAGTGAAGGAACTCCTCCAGCAGACCTTTGGTCAAAACACATCTTGAGCAACAGGACAGCCATGGTTAGGGCATACTGCAGTGCACCACAACAGTTTCCTGCTGGGGCAATGCCTGCTGATCCACAGGCAGCCTCAGGGTCAAAACCCTGCTCTGTCCTGACCACAGTCCTCTCCTTTGTGCTCACACACAATGGAGTTGACTTCCCTGATTGAAGTAAAGTTGTCTATGGTCACAGGGAACCATTGTTTTGGTCCAATTCCAACTCCTGGGCAAAGCAAGGACTTCCATGGTTGGCACCTGCAGAATGAGCCTGAAGTCAGACCTGCCAGGCACAAAGGGACAAAATGGCTCCAAAGAGCTGGTGAGAAAGGAGAGTACTCTGAGACACCATGGGCTGGAGGAACCTGCTACATCCAGCCTCGCAAAGGGATAGGAAAAATGCACACACCTTGGGGGTGGTGCTTGAAGGCACATAGGCTGGTGATTAGGGCCTGGTGTGAGCCTGGGCTAAGGGAACAATCCTGGGAAACTCCCAAGCATGGCAAGGGAAACTCCTAGCTCGTGACTGGAGTGCCAGTGCCCTAAAGCAGAGCCAGATTTCACAGGCAGCAAAGGGGGATTGATGTGCCAAGTGGTCACACTTCACAGATACTCAAAGGAAGTGCTGGGGTCATTCTGGGGAGAGGAACCCGGCAGGAACTGCAGGAAAGTACACCAGGAATGCCATGGAAGGCCAAGGTGAGTGGGCCAACACCACCTGCAACACCAAGGCTGTTCACAGGCAGGGCCAACCTGTGAGCCAGGGGGAAATGATGCCTGGGCTTGGCTCCATATTTAGGAGGAGACAAGGGCAGAGGAAAGGAGGAGCTGAAGAAGATGAGAGGGCTGTAATAGCCTGGCCAATGGAGAGAAGGAGCAATCAAAGGGCCAGCTGCACAGAGGCAAACTGCAGCATGGTGGGCTCGTTTGCCTGAGGGCTGTAGATAATCACCACAGGATGGGAAAGAAACTCATTTGCCCTTAATTTTCCACAGCACAATGGCATGGACAGTGGCCTGTGGCTTAGAGCAGGAGCATCCTCCTCTTCTCTCTACAGCATTCTGTTGCTGTATGTCACTGGCCACCCTGGCGTGAGGGTGCCAGAAGTGCCCTCATTAGATCAAGCCCAAAACAGCAATAGAACTCACTGGCAGCAAGGGCATGGAGCCTGCCGGAGGACATTTCTCTGGCTGATGGCACCAGCACAGACTGTGCTGCACCTGTGTTATGGATTGACTTTGGCACAGTGTTAGTGCTTTTATGAAAGGTGTATTTTTTAAAATGGTTGCTGTGAGATGTGACTCGGGAACAGAACAAAGCAGGCTTTAACTTGGGAATGGAGGGAAAAGACAACACTTTATTAATCTACATAGACACAAAAAAGGAAGGGGAAAACTACATACACACAACAATCTACAATAGAATACTTTTAGAACACTCTTTCTCTTCTCTTTAGTCTTTTAACATTCAAATCCTTTCTAATACATTAATTCTCAATTCAATACCTTCCTTTTACACAAGCACTCTCCAGTCTATTAGGAGAGAGAGAAGTCTCTCTCTTTCGCAATCGGCTTTTTTCTGGAAACACAGTAGAACTTCTGTGCTTCCATGTCACACACAGCAGCTGCTCGAAGAGAAATCTGCTATGGTGACCGTCTCCCTTCTATGTCTAGTGCTCTCACTACTGTCTATGGATCCAAACTACTCCTTAGGTTTTTTTAAGAATGCTTTCTGCTTAGTTTTAAGACGTGGCCGCCTCTCACTATTTGGGACTCCTGTCCCCCCCATATTCACTCCCCTGGGGCCTGGGGCTCAGGAACGGAGATTTTTTGCTGAAGGCTGAGGGTTCACCACACCCTCCCCCTAGTCTTTGTTCTTTCGACTTTTTCTCGCGGCTTTATCATTTTTGGCGCTTGGCCAGCCGCCTCCCCCAAGGTGCAGTTTCTGTATTAACGGAAGAAACTGGCTTCGCCCGTAGCTATGCAAGAGAAAAGTCCGGCTTAAAGCTACTCCAATCATCTCCTCTATTTCGGGTGCTCATCTGCTGGCATTTTTTCCTTTACTCAAACTTTCTTCATCTTTCTCCTTCTCCATCCTTTTTCAGTTTCTAGCTGAAGAGGATCAGTGTTTTTACAGCTTCTATTGTTTCAATACTAAAAGGGTTAAAAGCACAGCCTGTCCTGGCAGCGGCTGGGCACTTTGCCCACCTCTTCTCTTCCCGACTGCTTATCTTTTTTTCTGGGGGGGCTGCCCAAACTATTCTAGGAACTCCTCCACTTCTGCATCTCGCAGCGGTTCTGGCTTCCCTTCCTCAAGCCGCAGGCCTTCCCCCCTTCCCCACCCAGACGCAGCTGGGCAAGAAAAAGGTCCGATTTGCTTACTTGCTGGATTCTAAAGAAGAAGTCTTTCTGGGAGTGCTCTGCTTTTAACTCCTGTGTGTTCTCAGAGGTGTATCCACATCTCCAGTGGCCACATTAAGTGCCAATCTAAAATTTAGCCACTGATTGGTTTGACCATAACTTGCTAAAACCTTACTTCCGAATTAAACCATGACAACCTGCATTTCACTTCTCTTCTGCAGGAAGAATGATGCAGCTTGGGCACTTCACTGCTCAGCCACTGTGGCTGTGACTGGATTGGCTCCTGACCCAAGAGCACACATGCTTCCTGAAGGAGCCCCGTTCCACAGAATTTGTGTTTTGGGAAGAATCTTGTGGGGAAAAAGACTGCAGAGGGCAGGGTACCAGTGAAATTCCCCAGGGGCTGCACAGCCTCATCCTGCAAGAAGGGGCCTAAAAGAAAGCTGCAGAGAGCCTTCTTACAAGGGCAGTTTCTGATAGAACAAGGGGAAATGGCTTTACAGTGACAGAGGGTAGCTTCAGCTGGGATCATAAGATGGAAATCTTGATTGTGAAGGTACTGAGGCACTGGCATGAGTTGTCCAGAGCACCTGTGGATTCTCCATCCCTCAAAGAGTTCAATGACAGGTTTTGAGCCAGGCTCTGAGTAACTGAGTCTAGTGCAAGTTATTCCTGCCCACAGGAACTGGATGATCCTTAAGATCCCTTCTAATCCGAACCATGATTCTAAGATCTGTGGAGTACATTGAGTAAAACTCTGCCTTCTTCAGCCGCACTTATGATATCCAGCTGTCATTCATTAATGTTACTTAGCATGAACAAGTGTGACTATACTGTCATATGCAGAATTCCACATTTGGTCTTGGATAATAAATAAAAATTAAACCAGCAATTTAGCAACAGTTACAACAGACACATCTACACCATAATGTCAAATTGTTACAATCGCCTTATCAGATATCTGCATTAGTGCCTTCTGAGTAATGTGGCTGATACTCATGAGGGGAGAGAGAGAGAAAGATCAAGTACTATATACAAAGTATAAATATATATCTAAAATATAAAAATAGCTGTCACAAAGTGTTCTCTTTTGGGGTATCTGTGACAGACTTAGCTGGTAATGCATTGAATTCTTTGTTGCGAGCTCCTACATGAGGACCAGGCAGAATGGGGGCAGGACTGGGAGCGTGAGGATTCCTTACTACTGGCACAGACAGTTTATGAGATTCAGTAAAGGTTGTATTTGGAGAACAGAGGATGGAAAGATGCACCTCACAGTTATCTTTTCCTATATATTGCACTTCTTGCATATAGAAAAAGAATTCTAAACCTTTATTTTGGAGAAAAAACAACAAACTGGAGAAATTCTTCCCATTTTGTACCTAGACTGGGTGTTCTGACTCACAGCAAAGGCAAGAGAGGGGTAAAGATGGGATGGGACAGATAACATGTCTCATCTGATCATTCTGAGCTGAATTAAGTCTGGATTTAAGCAACCTTTTCTCCTCTCTACATACTTAGGACCACTGCAGGCATCTCCAGCTGAAATTAATCTACAACAGCCTGTAAGGCGTAACAAAATTCTGGCTGCGCCTTGTTCTAAATTCATTCTTTGCAGCTTGAGGTAATGTGAAAGGCATGAAGACTAGTGTCTCAATCTGACTATTCTTGAGATTTTCACAAAGCCCTCTGGAGTGTTTACTATAGTGGCCTTCAGTTACAAGAATATTTTAACCCAATCTCTAGATAACATGAATCCTATGGTCACCTTGCATGTTTATGTTTTTGAAGTAATAAGATTTTTAAGATAACCTGGATCTATTAAAATCTAAAATTAATATTTGTTATTAATGCTGTTCCCTCAGAGCTCTGTCATTTGCATTTCTTGATTTTCACCCAAGTGAATAAATTAGCTGTAGCAACTAGCGATCTGATAAAATTAAAACAGCCTTTACAGTCATCTATATTGGCATTGGGAAATAGTCAGTGGCAAGTCTAGAGGGTGCTGCAAAATAGAGAGAAATTGAAAATCAAGACCATGGCTTACTAGCAGATGCATTAAAGGGGGCGTAGGTTAACATATCTTTAGCCCTTAGCTGTATACAAACACAATTATGGGTACAGTCAACAGCTGCTTTAATCAAAAGAGAAGGAGGTGAAGGGGTGTTCCCAACTGAAGTGCAAAAGTTTGTCTGGGACTGTGCTACAGACTTGGAGAGAGATTTCCAGTCTTGGTGGGCCATGGTAAATTTAATGCATAATCCCACCACTAACACAGCTATGGCCTTTGTTGTCACTATACGTAATGCCACAGTTCATGCTATTCACCCCGTTGTTGCTTTAGGATTAAGTCATGAGAAGTCAGTATTATAACCCTCAGAACATAGGGTATGGGCCTGGAAAATCCAGGGGAAATGGCAAACCGTAAACTTGGATCCTTGCATTGCTCAAGAACAACAGGAAGTCATTTGTGAGAGTAATTCAATTAGTGCTCAGGTCATATGCCTTGACACTGACCAAGGCATCTGCTACTTTGAGATCCACCTGGACACCAACCAACGGACTGTACTATTGTATGTAGGTGATGGCTGTGTGTGTTTAAGGACTTTGTGTGACTACATAGAAATTGATAAGAACAAGGTACCC